AGAGAGAGAGACAAAGTGAGAAAGCAACCTGCCACATCAGGGACTCAAATTACAGTCAGCCATGTGCGAGTCCAGCGCCCTTAGCCAATATGCCATCTGTTGGCTCCTACTACTGGTATCTTTGAATTTTTTTTTTTTTTCTGAGAGGTTTTTGCTACATGGCGCATGTGCTCGCCAGAAAGACAGAGAGAGACAGAGAGACAGAAAGCGAGAAATCACCCCTTGGGGGGATGGCCACGGCACAATCCCTTCTCCTCCATTCTCCTCTCGGGATCTTGGGCATGCACGCACATGCGCCCGGTGTGAGTTTAAGACACCGGGTCCGAGACTCAAACCGCGGTCGACTACATACGTGGGAGTCCAGCAACATAGTCATTATGCTAACTGCTGGTCCCAAATTTTTGTTTTTTTTTTAAAAGATTTTTGCCATAGTGTGTGTACACTTGCAGGAGACAGAAAGGGAAAGTGAGAAATGATCCCGTAGGGGTATGGCCAGATCCCAATTCCTTCTCCTCCATTTTCCTTTTGGGATTTTGGGCAAACAGACACATATGCATGTTTTTTCAAGCTGCCAGGTCCAGGATTCAAAGTGCAGTTGGCCATGTGGGATCTAGTTCCTTAACCACTATGATATCTACTGGCCCTATTTTTAAATACTTTTAATTAAAGTTTGATAATTAATCACAGTCTTCCAGGTTAATATTCTTAGAATTCTTATATCCTTAGTAAGAATTCTTATATCCTGTTTTTATTTTTGAGAGATTTTTGCTATAGGGCACATGCTCTCACTGGAGAGACAGAGACAGCAAGCGAGAAATCACCAACTGAGAATGGCCACACCACAACCCCTTTTCCATGATTCCCCTCTCAGGATCTTGGGCACACATGCATACATGCCTGGCATGAGTTTAAGCTGCTGGGTTCAGGACTCGAACCATGGTTGACTACGTGATAGTCCAGTGATGTACCATTATGCCATATGCTGGTCCCAAGTTTTTGTTTTGTTTTTTTTTTTTTTTTTTAAGTTTTGCCAGAGGTATGTGTGCTTATCAGAGATAGGTAAAGAGAAAGAGAAAAAAAGAGGGAAAGTGAGAAATCACCTCTTGGGGGAATGGCCATGCTGCAACCCCTTCTTCTCTATTTTCTTTTCGGGATTTTGGGCATGTACACACATGCATCCAATGTGTTTTTCAAGCTACTGGGTCCAAAACTTGAACCATGTAGTCAGCCATGTGGGATCCAGCCTCCTTACCACTATGTTACTGGATGGCCCCTTATATCCTGTTTTATATTCATTTATAAGCCTTTGTTAATTTCCATTATTTTCTGATAGGTTACTGGGATGATATGATTTTCAGAAAAGAAAACTGAAGGAATAAAGAAGTTTAGAGGCCCATTGCAAATCAGTATTTCATTGTATCCCTGACTGCTAAGTAAATGCTTGAGTCATTAAATCATTTTCTATCTGTCCAAATATTAGATACAACATTTTACGAAGCTAGACAATAAAAGTTTGTTTTTATTTTTTTGCTTTATATGTAACACATTTTCTTATTAAGATAATCTCATGGGGCTAGCAGATGGCCTGGTGACTAAGGCACTGGAATACCACATGGCCACCTGCAATTCCAGTCCCCTAATTGGAGGTGTGAAAATCTCACAGAGTACATATGCATGGTGCCCAAAATCATGAGAGGAAAATGAGAAGGGACTGTGGTATGGCTATCCCCCCTGGGGGTTGGTTTCTCTTTTTTTTCTCTCTCTTTCTCTCTGGTGAGTGCACACTCACTATAGCAAAAACCTTAGAGAAAAAAAAAAAAAAACTAAAAAAAGAGATAACTTTACAGTTGGAGTCATTTTTTTTTTTGGAGGGGTTTTCACTGTAGGGCGCGTGTGCTCGCCAGACAGACAGAGAGAGACATAGAGACAGAAAGCAAGAAATCACCCCCCAGGGGGGATGGTCATGCCGCAATCCCTTCTCCTCCATTCTCCTCTTGGGATCTTGGGCATGCACGCACACGCACCCGGCGTGAGTTTTAAGCCACCGGGTCCGGGACACGAACCGCGGTGGACTACGTGGGAGTCCAGCGACATAGCCATTACGCTAACTGCTGGTTCCCCAGTTGGAGTCATTTTAAAAGTTTACTATGAAAACATTTCTACCTTACAAATCTCTTTTTATACATTGCTGGTATATTTTAATAACAAATTTCTTGCTTGAATAAATAACATACCTGGCCTGTTCTGTCTCATTAAGAAAATATTCGAAGACATTATTCATTATAACAACATCAGCATTTTGCAGAAGTGAACCCTGGGTACGGATATCTGCATGAAGCACCTAAAAAAGAATGAGTTTATGTAAGATAATAACGACATAAAAAAATATCTACTGGTCCACTGATGTAAAGCAACATGAAAGGTAATATTTCCTTTTTATTTTTTTAAGAGAGGTTTTTGCTACAAGGTACAAGTGCTCGCCAGAAAGAGAGACAGAGAGACAGAAAGCGAGAAATCACTCCCCGGGGGGGGGATAACCACACTGCAGTTCCATCTCCTCCATTCTCCTATCAGAATCTTATGCATGCACACACACCTGGCATGAGTTTAAACTGCCAGGTCCGGGACTCAAACTGCAGTCAACTACATGGGAGTCCAGTGACGTATCCATTATGCCATCTACTGATCCCATGAAAGGCAATACTTCTTAAAATGAAAGAAAGAATAATGCCTCTGAGAGATATTTAATATCTTGTAAAAACCATAAACTTGTGAAAATTTTGTTTTAGATGGAATCATAATTATACTCTTTTAACTCCTAGCTCAGAGTTTTTTTTTTACTATAATCATATCACTTGATATTAGGGCCAAAGAATCCACATTCAAACTCTGACTCCATCAGCTAGTGGGTTTGTATTCCTAATTGGTTAGTTTCTTCATAATAGAATAACATCTTTCCTGATTCATAGAACCAAGTGTGATCATACAAAAAATAATAAAAGCAGATTATAAATTGTAAAATGCTAATATAATATGTTATTGGCCTTGTCTGGCCCTTCAGGTAAAATTCACCTGAATGTATAACTTATCCAAAAGAATAAACAAAACAAGTGAAAAAATATGTACTGCGACCGGCAGATGGTGTAATGATAACATCACTATACTTCCACATGCCTGACCACAGTTTGAGTCTTGGACCTGGAGGCTTGAAACTCACAATGGGCATATGTGAGTGTGCCCAAAATCCCAAAAAGAGAATGTAAGAGAAGGGATTGTGATGTGGCCATCCCCCATGGGAGATGATTTCTCACTTTCCATCTCTGTCTCTCTGGTGAGTGCATGTGCCCTATAGCAAAAATCTCTCTTAAAAGAAAAAAATATATATATACAACTGGGCTGGACTGAGGTGTGTGTCTCTTTACAATCTAAATGATGTATAGTGATTAAATGTATAAATGATAATTAAAATTAATAAATAAAATTATGATTTATATACACACACACACATATATATAAACACACACTCCAAAAAAATTAACTTAGACTACAATTACCAAGCCTTGTAGACCACAAGCAAGATAACTAGAAGTATTTATTTGCTCATGAACAAAACTACTTTTATTTTAAAAAGAAGAGAAAAAGATTTAACTACTTGATATCATATGATTTCTTTTCAAATGAGCACTTGGCCTTAGAAATATATATTCAAGGGCCAGCAGGTGGCATGGTGATTAAGGCACTGGACTCCCACATGGCCTACCTACCACCTTGAGTACTGGACCCAGTGGCTTGAAAATTATGCTGGGTGTGTGTGGGTGCACACATGCCTAGAATCCCAGAGGAAAATGGAGAAGTAGGGACTGCAGTGGGCCATCACCCTTGGGGGGTGGGGGGGTGATTTCTTATTTTCCCTTTCTCTGTTTCTCTCCAGTGAGTGCACACGCCCTATGGCAAAAACCTAAAATAAATAAATAAATAAATACACACAAACACACACACACACACATTCACATATTCTCAGATGTTGTGAGTCTGGTTTTAAAAATACTTTTTTTTTAAAGTAACAAAATACAAAAATATAGGAGCCAGCAGATAATGTAATGGTTACATTGCTGGACTTCCACACGGATGACTACGATTCAAGTTCTGGACCTCACTTGAAATGTGAGCCTGGTGTATGTGCACATGTGCCCAAAATCTCAAGAGAAGAAGGGAAGAGAAGGAATTGCATGGCCATCCCCCCCACATCCCCACCGGGGAGTGATTTCTTGCTTTCTGTTTCTGTGTCTCTCTGGTGAGTGCATGTGCCCTATAGCAAAAATCTTTCTAAAAATATAAAAAATATGGAGCTAGATGGCACAGCAGTAAAAGTCACCATTGTGAGAGGCAGTCCCACATGGAAAAGGTCCTAGTTCAAGTCTGAAGACCTCCTTGAGAAGGAGACTCTAGACTGAGTCTTGTCTCTGTGATCCTGAGTTGGCTGAGGGTTGGGGTGAATTGTGATCTCAAGGCCTCATGGGGGTACTGTCTCTCTCTTTTGCTAATAAACTTTAAAAGAAAACCCTAAAATAATTTAAGTTGGCCTGGAGTCTCTTTTATTCCCTCCCTCTTTTCTTTCTTTTTCTTCTTTTTGTAGGTTTTTGCTCTAGGGCATGTGTGCTTGCCAGAGAGACAGAGAGAGACAGTGAGAAGGGAAGTGAGAAATCACTCCCTCCGGGGGGATGGCCATGCTGCAATCTCTTCTTTCTCCTCCCGGGATTTTGGGCAAGCATGTAATGCACCTGGTGTGATTTTCAAGCCACCAAATCTGGAACTCAAACCACAGTTGGCCATGTGAGAGTCCAGCACCTTAACTACCATGCCACCTGTCAGCCCAGCCTGGAGTCTCTTAGATGTAGTTTTGACATATTCTCGATAAAAGAAAAAAGTCAATAATTTCAAACATATACATCAGAAATGAAATAGATATGTAAATGAACCTACTGATATACGTTAGCTCTCCCACAGTTCTTTTCCTTTCTCATCTCTGGTCAGTCTTTTTGCCTCTCAATTACTCCCCCCTCCGCCAGGCTGAGTGAAAAATAATCAGGTGGACCAACTAATTATGAGTACTCTGTTCCAAGGAAAACACCAAGGAATGGCTCTGGGAAAACTCTGGAATGCTGGTAATGCAGAGGCCACAGGGCAACCAAAATCAACTTAACCATTATTATTTTTTAAAGTTTATATATTTATTGCATCCATGAGTGAGAGAGGCAGAGAGACAGCACCCCAAACAGGGTCTTAATGCCATAATTCACCTCCAGCAAGCCCCTGATATACATGCCCAGAGTATTCGGGGAGGTCTAGATGTGAACCTGGACCCTTCACATATGGGTCAGCCTTGCCGAGTGTCATGTTTTACCACTGCACCTCTGTCTGGCCCCAGTTTAATCAATATTTAATGGGTATCTTTTATGTGCCCATGGAATGCACCCAAGATACTGTGTAGGGAGATAACACCACGATGAATGAGACACCATTCCTGC